TCTGCACTGTTCATAAACATATTTAACACTACATTAACAGTGTAAGGATTTGCCAAAAGCCATTTAAAATAAATGCTTTATAAAGACAGAACAAAACAAGTGAACAATACTACTACTACTAATACTAATGATATCCAATTTTTTATATATATATATATATATAAATATTAATTTATTTTAAATATTAATAATTTTTTGTTTATTTAATCATCACCATGTTTAACACTACAAAGAAACATTTATACCATACGCTAGGAAGATATGACCCTCGGTTATGCCACGACCACTTGACGTCTCTATTCAGAGAGCAGTGTTGTAAATGATTACACACAATTAGCACTTAATTAATAAGGCTGAAACAAAGAGACAGCTCCCCTGGCACATTTTTTCAGCTTGAGGATAACACAGCCTTACTGCTGTTGACAATATGCCATCTGTTTCCAAATCCGAGCCATGGAAGCCCCATTCTGTGATAATAGGGGGGGGGGGGGGGGGGGGCAGCATTATTATCATAATCATCATCATCATCATCCAAGCCTGGCTTGGAAACTACAGTGAGCCTTTTCTGTGAATTTGCTAATTATTTTGTGACGTCAAAATTGTTGACGTTGTTATAAATCATGTTACTAAAAAAACAGATTTAGTTAGGAAATAAATAGCAACCAACAGAACATCATTTTCAGAGTCTTTTACATTTCTGTTTCATTTATCATAAAATACACTTATAATCTTAAATTCACAAATGCTCTCTCGACAACACGAATAGTTCAAACATTTGCGCTCGTCACTTTCATGATCTGAAGAAATTGTGGTTAAAGAATGCCTTGTTTACAATTTCCCATTAGGAAAAAAAGGTCACGCCTACAATTGTAATGCTTGGGGAAACACTGCCATCTATTGGTCATGCAAAAAAAAACAGGTTAGAGGGTTACCTATTGAAAATACATAGGAAAACATGCAAATGGCCTACATGTTAAGTAACAGAGCTCCTTGGGGTGTGTGCATGTGATAATATGGCATGTTGAAACAGTAATCGCCCCCTTGGGCCGACATAATTACGACTCCATGTTAATCACCTAACAATTAGCAGCCATCAGTTCCAAGGGGCAATCAATGAATTAGAGACTCGCCCACATGTTCAGTGTTGTTCTGCTCATTTAAAAAGCAAGCAGCCCTCCAGACTGACATCTTCTGTGCACAGAATAAGAAGCCATTTGCATTTGTACCAATTAGGATTACTAATATCCCATGGTGAATTGAAGCACCTTTCACACCTTTTATGGTGTTGATTTTTTTTTCCCACTCACTTTTTTTCATTTCTTCTCCTTCTGCTTTTGTCCACAATGTTTTTGCGAGGAATAATTCTCGTGGGGTGTGTGCAACACATATTGCATGCACATTTCAGCCTTAAAAACAGCTCAGGACAGGTCTTGCTGCATGGCACGGTGGAACCAATGACAGTTTTATGTCTGTAAAGAGACATTAAATACACTGAGACCCAAACAGCCATGATTGTACTGCTTTTTAAACCCTTTATAAAGAAATGCAGGAGCTTCAAGTTAGAAGTGTTTGTTCAAAATTAGCAGTAATGGTTAATTTCAATAAGCCACAGTAAAGTAAGTTAGTTTAAAAGTCACTATGCAAATAAGCATTTTATTTGACTCTCCTCCATCATCATTCTCCTCATATTAGAGCCATTTATTATGAATAATATTGTACAATTTGATTTGAACAAAACTATTGAACCAGGTGCAGCCCTGAGACTGATCTTCATCCCTATTGTGTTCCATTCGTTTTGATCAACAATATTAAAAACAACCCAAATACGAAAGCACGCCATCAATCATGTCGCAAATACATCTCCATAAGTGGCACACGTCAAGCTGTATGGCTAACAATTCGCACATTCAAATACACTGCTGAGATTCACGTCACTCGGGTTTGTTAATCGACAATAAGAAGCCAGATTCGCTCTGTATGTGTGGTTTCTTTCCCTGCAGAGTGTTAGACTTTAGAAGCAGGGTAAAACTTAAAAAGAACCGCTTATTATTTCACATTAGGACTAGCCTTAATTCAATTGCAACCCTGACTGTCCTTTATTCCTTTCATTATTCTTTATATTGCACAGATGTTATTACTGTGCAGATGGCCACCTTCCCTTATTACTGCACTATATGGCTGCAGCCACATGCGTGAATTGATGTGCGAGATGGAAATATTATACATCCGTAATATATACCGGGTGACATATTGTAATGCATATAGGGAGGTAAACATACACGGTCCTCCATATTCATGCCTAACCTGCTTTTTTCCCCCCTATTCAGCTGAATAATCAGCAAAGGGTTTGGGAGTCAGGTGCCAGCCCCTATAACCGGGGCAGGGGGCTAATTTAAATGTCAGCCTCAACATCACCAAAAAGTACCTATGGCAATCACTGAAAGGTTAAATAGGTTTTATGTCTTGTTCTTAATTTGCTGAAATTGCAAAATCAATACCTGCAGTTGTAGTCACAGCTTCTTGTTTTACTGCTTTAAGATAAAGTCTACAGGAAGGCAATCTTCACTTCCAATTTGCAATGTTCAGCATCAGGGTGCCTCTTATCAGTGCTTTTAAAAAGCAGCTGTCCGGTCTAACTGCTGTGCCGACACACTCCGTGACGCGGGACCTTAAAAACACCTTGAGCTAGCAGGAAGAAGATATATACATTAATACATACACTACCAAAAAGAGTGCCAAAAATCATTTGAATTAAAGCATGCCGTGTGTTTTATTTTTCTCTAAAGCATTTCATAGGGATTTACACATTCTTTATAAACCTCCGTTCCTATAGAGTACATTACAAACAGCTGTTCATCAGGCTCAGAAGCTACAGGGAAACCAAGGATAAAGGGCACAGCCTTAACGCACAGCCCCATACGGTTCACTGGATATATATGTGCGTGTGTGTGAGCTTGTGTGTGTGTCGTCTTTGTCTGCATATAAAACACAAATTTCGCCCTCAGAACACAGCTGGATTCAGTTCTACATGTGAAATGGCACAGAAAGCTTCATTTACGGAAAGCTGACATTCATGTGCTCTGTTCTAAAGCCTTTCTTGCCCTGTCAAGCATTTAGTGTAAGTGTTTTAGCATTATGCTAATGAAGCTTTGGAAAGTGTGTGTTCATTTAGCTTGTTTTTAAGGCCCTTTCAGATCTTTTGTCTCAGTGTGGGCACTGTTAATCCATCTTAAAACCTCTTTTTAATCTCTTTCATTAGTGGAGATAACCGCAGAATGCCACCTTCGTGGCTTTTGGCTTTGATTGTGGGTTAGTCATATGAAGAAAACAAAAATGCCAGTAATATTAATAGCCTTGGACTGCAATCAGAGGGCTCTGGGGACTTTTGCATTTTATTGCAGAAATAATTTCACATGTTCTAGAACAGATTAAAAAAAAATTAATCTGGATATTAAGAACATTATATCCTAAAGTTTAGGGTCAGAGCTGGTACAGACAGGAAGAAATCCACAGAAATTTGAAATGAATTTGATTAGGGCAAACTGTAGATTTAAGAACTATAAAGGGGGGGGGGGGGGGCACCAA